ATTCAAAACTGTCACCCTTCCACTATTTCAGCCATAACTTTTGATCTACAAAAGATTTTAATCTAATTGGAATTGGGTTGGAAAGTAGAATTCAATAGCTTTCCAACGAAATATTATATTCCATATGTAGACTTCTGGATCAAAAGATATGATAAAAACAAAATCCGCAAAACTATCCTGTAGCGCCGGACGACAGGCCTGTCGCGCGGCGACGAGGGCTGTTGCGGCGAAAGCGACATGTTTTATTCCTATTTGAACTCCGAATCTTTTTTTTATCAAATCCTGACTGCTTTCATTATAAATAGCGTCCTTAAACCTCCGTTTTTAATTACCAACTGATGAGGAAATAAACGCGTCGTTAATTGTCTATCCCTATATCAAATACAATTTATACAACCTAAACAAACTTAATACGAGTATAAGGCAAGCATAGGGGTCGAACCACAGAGAACAGGTAAACACCACCAAATGTTATCGACAATTAAGCTAGTCCGGAATAGGAGATAAATAAACTAAAGTCTAAAGATGCTAAAACAAGAAATAAAACACTAAGGAAATGGTTTAGGTATATCATTCACTTGAACATAAACAAAGGCATAGAAATTGAATTAATTATGAACTAAACATGCTCGAGTATCAAAACAAAGGATCCAATCTAGCCGCCTTCCGGGGTCAATTGGCTTCTCCTAACATAGCCTCTATGTTTCCACATTAGAACCATATACTAGGAGGTACTATTAAATAACAATCGATAGTAATGAACCTTAACTAAGTCAACTTCCGTTTCTTGTTAGCAAAGATTCACCTTTAATCAACCAACAATGTGTACTTGCAAGAAGATTAAAGAATATCAATCAAATAAAGACTTTAATCACAAATAAATCAATTCTAAAACCTAGAACATGCTCAAGGTCCAACAACACCACAACCATCCCCTTATTAGGGAAATTACCCACTAATCATGATAATAACAAGATTAATTAACAAATAATAAAGAATAAACATGATTAAAAAGCAATACCAACAACTAAAATAATAATCAAAATAAAGCAAATAAAAAATAGAGGAGAGAGAGTTAGAGATTCTCATTGATTGAATGTGAAAATCTACAAGCAAGATGATCAATCTTCCTCTTCAATATCCAAGCTCAACAATGGTAAAACCCTTACTTTCTCTCTCTAAACTATCCTAATCCTAAACTAAACCTAGAGAGAGAAGCTCTCCTAAAAACTAATTAGAGAATGGAATAGATGCATAAAAAGTTGAGAGAGTATTAACCCCCCAATAAAGGGGTATTTATAATACAAGGCTTAAAATAAAATAAAATAAATAAAAAGAAAATAAAACTAATTAAAATAAATAAAATAACAATACTAAAAATAAAAGGGAAAAAGAACCAAAAATTCCCAAATTCCCTCAAACAGTTTGGCTGCTCTGAATTATCATCTTCACCATTCACGCATGAGTCTTCAAGCCATCACCATCGATCACCTTCAATCGTGGCCGTCCAAATTCAATAAGAACCCCCATTCACAAGCAAGGCACGTGAGGATTAAGGAATTCAAGATCCGCAAAGGAGCGGCCGCGGCTAGGCATCTCCTTGCAATCTACCGAAACTTGGAGAAGGATGGAAGGACCCAAGGCCGCGCCCGCGGTGGTCTAGGTAGCTTCTTGCTGTGAATTTACTGCAATTTGTTGCTTAATTGTTGCTGGTTGTTGACGGTAGTGCAGGGGTTGATGTTGGTTCAGGTGCGTGGCTGCTCTGGTTTTGTGGCTGGTGTTTCTGTGCGCGAAGGGTGGACGAAGGAGGTTAATTGGTGGCTGAAATTGAGTGGCTGCGGTGAATTGGAGTTGAGGTGCTGGTGCGGTTATGGTGGGATGATAGAGGTTGTTGTTGCGTGTGAGTCGAAGACTGATGGAGTCGGGGAATGGTGTTAAGGGTGGCTGAAGGTGGAGATGATGCTGATTTTGGTGGTAGGTTGCTGTCAGGGGACTTGTTAGGTGGGTAAAATTGGTGGTCAGGGAGCAAAGGAAACGGAGGTGAGTGGTGGATGATAGGAGGTGGCTGATGAGTTGGTGGTTGCAGCAGGGAAGTTGGTGATTGGGTTGATGTGCATGGTTGATTGTGGTGGAGATGGAGCAGGTGAATTGGTTACGGGGGTGATTGGTGGTGTGGTGAAGGTTGTAGGTGGAGCTGGTGGTTGTTACGGCTGCTGTGGTTGATTGTGGTGGCAATTGAAAAGCTTTGACTTGGACCTTGAACACGAGCCTACACACAAACAAACCCGAGGATAAAAGTGTGAAACCGAGACAAATAAAATAAAATAAATAAAAAGGAAATAAATAAAATAAAATAGAAAAAGAGAAGTAACACTAAACTAATAAAAATAAATAAATAAAAGTAAAATTGAAATAAGAGAAATAAAACTAAAACTAATAAAGACATAAAACTATACAAGTAAATAAAATAAAATTAAAACTAATTAAAACTATGAAAGTAACAAAGGAAAGGAACGAACTAAAATAAATCGAAAGCAAATAAAATACGAAAATAAACTAATTCTAATAAAAACTACAAAAAGAACTAAAACACGACAAAATTACCAAATAAACAATAAATGTTATTAAAGAGATAACAAGAGAAAGAAAGGGAAAATAAGATAAAATAAACACGAAAATGACTCTAATACTACTCCCTAAGAGTGACATAAATGTCACTCATCACCAACTCTTATCAAGAAAATCTTGATATTCTCTCTCTCTTATTCTAAACCAACTTTTCACAAACAAAATTCCGCATTCACAAGATCTAGACACACCTTGCATAATTCAAAGTTGCCTTCGCCCTAGACGTGAAAGGTTTGATATTTCTGAGGGTTTGGTCCAATTCTCTATTTCAATTATTTAATTAATTGTTTGGTTATTATTTTCCTTGAAGTTACTAACGTGTGTATTTTGTTATTAGAAAGAGGTACGAGGCATCCAAGTAAGTAATTTAATTATTTTATTGATATTTTGATATAAAAATCATGCTTAGATTATTTTGATTCCTAGTATCATGTTAAGATGTTTTATTACTTCCTAGTATCATGTTTAGGGTGACAACAATAAGTTCCTAATATCAATTATGATTTCTATGATGCTTTCTGCTTTTCTTTCTTAATATCATGCTAGTATCATGTTAGGGTTACAGCTTTGATTTTATTGTTTTTGACATGCTAGGGTTTGTCATTAATCTTGTTAGTATCATGCCTAGGATCTTGCTATTATTATGCTTTAACATGATTATGATTATTTTAATTATTATTCTTATTATGATTATTATTATGTTGCTTGATGATTATTTTTATTGCTTGATCACACCTTTTATGCATGTTTAAAGGGAATTTGTACTTTTAATCACGCTTAATAAGATAATTAATAATCTTGTTTAGGGTTAATTTGATTATAATTCAAGTGATCACCAATAATAGATTTATTTGTGCATTAATATTCAACCAACATAGATTAAACAGATTTAGGGTAAACCTATTGATTACATGTTAGTCAGAGAGCGCACATGAATACAAGCAGAATAAAGTAGACGCCTATTATTAGGGCAGGTTTTTTCTCTTTTAGATTGAATTTGTACCTTCATCCCCGAACTTCCAGTCTTGGTTCCAGACCTATTGGAGTTAACAATCTCTTGGATTGTTAAGGGGTGTAACCTTCACCATGTGAACAGTTTACAAGTTCCTAAAACTTGTTGATGACTCTTTTGGTCTAGGTTCCTTCCCTTTAGACGCCACCATGCTTAAGTGTATGATCACAGTAGGGTTCAAGTTTGGGGTAATGCTTAAAATATTTCCTAAAGTGACCTTCAAATGATTGTAGATGCATTTGTTCCCTTCTTGATATCCATGTTGTTGCCTTGATATTTTGTTGTTTATTTGCCTCATTACAAGCCGATTTGCCCCATTGGTTACTAGTCCCAAGCTTGGCTTGGGGGAGCTATTAGTGAGTGAGGTGAGGGTGTTTTTTTATGTGCATATTATTTGCACAATTTGGGTGGATATGAGGAGTTTTGTTAGGGAAGACGTTAGCAGGATTTTTATTCCAAATCAAGAGCCGCAAGAGCTAATATGCTTTGCGAAAAATTACCCAATCATACTAGTTCATCATTACCACGGGTATCCCATCACGCTACCAGATGGGAAACTATGTTTCTTGCTCTACGTACATGAGAAATATTGAAGACATAAAAAGATTTGGCAAGACAACCTACATCATCATAGAAAAGCTAGATAGGAGAAAGATCAGTTTTTGCCTGTTTAATATTGTTAACTACACCCTCAGCATCACATTCGACCCATATGTGTTGAACACCCATACGTTTGGCCACTTGACACCCGAACCTCACAGCAGATTCCTCTTCCACATCCACATCCCAATTGGCAGGGTTTTTCTTGACAATAACCTAGGTAATGTTGCCCTCCCCGTTCATAGCAACCACCCCCAAACCACCACTCACATTCGAGCCAATGTGAGCATCTACATTGATTTTAATAACATCATTAGGAGGGCGCATCCACCTTGCTTACAACAATAACACGGGGCAAGGAAGGATGGTGGTTAACTTTGGCAGCATAATTGTTGTATTCATGAACCATACGAAGGAAACTTGCAGCAACAAAGTCAGCATCAAGGGTAACATTGTCATGTACCCTCTTAATCCTGCAGCACCACATAGCCCACACAATTATTAAGATTGTCAGTAGCTTCCTTTTGTCCACCTTTTCAGACATCCATAGCAGTCACTCAGGGAAAGGGGCTTGTCTAGGCAAATCTGCAATTATAGAGTCAAGCTCATACTTCCGCCATACCTTATGTAACACCCTACAATCAAAGAGAACATGGCCTATAGAATCGACCTCTAACCCGCATCCCCCACATACATCATCCGCAACCATATGCCTTCTATGTAGTTCTCTTTTGACCGCCATACTCCCTTTGCAAGCGTTCTAAACAAAGTTCCCCAATTTAGGTGGACCACCAACACTCCAAGTAACCCGCCATACCCTCTGATCAATGTAGTTACCAGCTATGTTTCCAGTTTGTGCCACGCCTAATTTTCCAAGCCAATATGCCATTCTAACACTATGTACACCATTCTTTGTATGACCCCAATACCTCATGTCATTTGGCATATTAGTTGATAGAGGAATCTGTAAAATGAGTGCACATACCTCATTGGGAAAAAGCTGTTGAATTTTATCTCTTCCATTCGCCACATTGCTGGTCTATCATGTCCGCAACACGAAGGTCAGAATCAAAATCTATTCTATGAGCAGGGATAATATCGCCAGGGATCCAGGAGTCTAGCCACACCCAAATATCTTTACCATTACTAGTTTCCTATTTAATCCCCTCAATTAGCTGAGACAATGGCCCCCATAAACTCCTCCAAGAATAACTTGGGTCATACCCTCTATATGCTTTAAGAATAGAGCTATGCTTGAAATATCAAGCCTTGAGTATTAAATTAAGCAAAGGATTCGGGGAGTTATACAATCTCTACATTTTCTTGGCTAACAAAGCTTGATTAAAAAGCTTGAGATCACGGAAGCCAAGGCCCCCTGGGATTTCGGTTTACACATGGAGTCCTAACTATGCCAATGCATCTTCCTTGATGTTTTCGAGGAACCCCACCACAATCGGGCTAGAAGAGTATGAATCTCATCAATTAAAGTCTGTAGAATATTAAAGATACTCATCCTATAGGTCGGGATTGCCTGAGCTATGGCCTTGATTTGAATTTCCTTCCCGGGTCTAGATAGAAGCTTCTCCTTCCAACCTTGAATTTTCCACCAAATTCTCTCTTTTAAACTGGCAAAAATAGCTTTCTTAGATTTACTACTAATCGTTGGTAAACCTAAATAATTTTCATGTCTCTCCACTTCTCTCACCCCCAAAATTCCCACATTCTCCACACTTCGAGAATCACTCACATTTTTGCTAAATACGACGTCTGTTTTTGTTAGATTGACACTTTGACCGGATGCTATCATCGAGCACTCACTTACAGTAGCTTTAGCAAAAAGAAGTCTATCATCGGCGAAAAATAAATGTGACACTCTAGGGGCACCCCTACAAATTCTCGCTCCATGAATTAGTCTATCACTAGCCGCTTTTGATAGCAAAGTCGAAAAGGCATCAGCAACAATGAGAAAAAGGTACGGAGATATCAGATCCCCCCGGCAAAGGCCCCAAGAAGGTACAACCGACCCTGAAATTTTCCCATTAATTTTGAAAGCAAACGAGACACTTGAGAGGCATTCTAGAATTCTTCGAACCCAACCATCATAGAAACCCATCTTCATCATAACTCTTTCCTTAAAGCTCCACTCCACCCTATCATAAGCTTTTCTCATATCAAGCTTCAAAGCAATTGTGCCATCCTTTCCTTCACCCCTTCTTTTCATAGCGTGGAAAATCTCAAAAGTTACTAAGGCATTATCAGTGATTAACCTTTTCGGAACAAAAGCACTTTGATCAATTGAAATAATATTTTCCAAAAAAGGTTTTAGCTTACTTGACATAATTTTTTAGATTATTTTGTACACAACGTTGCAACAACTAATAGGTCTGAATTCTGTAATGCGTTTAGGATCATCGCATTTCGAAATAAGAACAACACACATTTTATTTATTTCATTCAAGCTCATTTCTCCACGCCACTAACACTTCACAAAACCAATTATATCATTACCAACAATATGCCAGAAAGTTTTAAAAATAGAGCATGCATACCGTCACGTCCTGAGGCTTTGTTAGGATGCATCTGGAACAAGGCGGCCTTGATTTCATTAGCAGACAGTTCAATACTTAGCTGCCCATTCATTTCGTTAGTCAGAACCTCCTTGATACCCTCTAAGGCTTGCTCAAATTCCATGGGATTGCAGCCCTCGAATAACTTTGCAAATTATGTCTCAACAGTCTTTTCCAACTCCTCTTTTTATTTCTCCAAACACCATCATCATCATATAGTCCACTAATGTCATTAATGCGTCGACAATCACTAGCCTTTTGGTGAAAATAAGAGGTATTCTTATCCCTGTCCTTGAGCTCATTAGCTCTTCCCGAGGAAACTGATACGTCTCCTACATACGGTGTAATTCATCCAGCTAACTAGAAAAAGCGTAACATTGCTCCAATATAGCAGCGACAGGATCCTTACCTTGCGCTTCCTTTAGCTTGCACTTTGCTTTCTTAATTTTTTTTCTTCAAGTCCCCAAAGCATCGATCAGCCCAAGAAATTAGGCTTGTTACACAGTTTTCAATCCTCCCTGTTGTTGATAAAGCCTCACTACATGGCCACGCCTCCTCCACCACCTTACTACATTCCTCACTCCACATCCACCACGGTTCAAATTTAAACGCCTTTTCATTCCTCCCTCTCTCGTAGTAGTTGATTGTGTTTAAAAGTATCGGGGCATGATTAGAATGGTAAATAGAGAAGTGGTGCACCACATAGGAGGGGAACATATTACACCAAGCACTATCTTCCATAAACTGATCAAGTCTCTGTCTTTTAAAAGTTGCAGGATTGTTGCCTTTCTTCCAAATGAAGGTACTCCCCTTTTAACCCAAATCTCTCAGTTCACAATCATCCATAGCATTATAGAAAGCATCCATAAGACATTCACTCCTAGGTACACCACCCTCTTTTTCATTTTGGCTCAAGATCTCATTAAAATTACCGAATATTACACATGGAAGGGTTCTCCCAGCTTTATTTCTACGTAACATAGCCCATGTTAGGTGTTAGTTCTCCTATTCCGGCCTGCCATACACCCCTACAGCTCATCATTTTAGGATGTTCTCATGGTCACAGACATCCACAATAAATTGATGAATTGAGTAGGTGCTCACTTTCACATTGATATCTCTCCACCAAAACCCCATTCCATGAGAGTACACAACATTGTTGTTAAATTATGAAAAAAATAACGTTGTTGAAAATTTTGTTGAAAAGTTATTTTCCCTAGACCCATACATAATAAAAAAAAAAATCCAATAATGATAGAAAAGTAAGTGTCAAGTTAGTTCTTTTAACGAAATAGCTAAAGAATGACAACTACAATAAACTTATGTTATAAAAGTCTTTTTTATATGCCTTAAGTTGAGTGCATGAGACTCGTGAATACATTCTTATACATGCAAAATTTAAATTGTTGGATAGAATCATAAAATTTATTTAAATTGATGTTTCATAAGCTTTATTATGATTTAGATTGAATAATATGTAAGTCATTGACTAAAGTTAGGTTCCACTATGACATCCTTACACTCTTTAGTCTATTACATAATACATATGAACGATATAGGTATGAAACAAACTCTATTAGAAAGTAGACTTCAAGAGCTTTCCAAATAAGCCTAATTCAACCAATTCTAATCGATTCAACCGATTCTATGAGCGATTCTACAACATAACGATTCTACCAGCAATTTACATCGTTTAGGTGGATTGGGATCGTAGAATCGTACGATTCTACGATCTGAATCGCGATTTTAAGAACATTGCCCTCACTAATACTCAATGATTAGGAGGAAGCCTAACAACAACATACAATAATTTAAACCAACTAGTAGCAACCATAACTACTAGTGGGCAACCTGTTATTCATCCTATCGGGTTTCATTTCCCTTCTTAGATTAAATTTCACTGTACATTTTATTAGATTAAATCATCAGATTACACTGTACACAAGTATTGCACTAATCAATTTAATTCCAAGTAACAATACTTTAATTTCACTATTATTAAACCATAGTCATCGTAAATGACATATAGACCATCAATCACATATAATCAATCATCTAATTCTCAAGATTTTATTTATTTTAAAAACTCATACGATATCACATAATGATTTTTTTCGAAAAAACATATAATAATACACAAAATGGAAAGCTAGTATATAAATTAATTCCATAATATATATCATACTATAGCACACTCATCAAATATAATTACATAAGCACGTATTTGGCACACAATATTTCAAAACAATTTCCTAACGGGATTCTAAAGATGGACATTAAAAATTACCTTGATTGTGCGTAAAAACTCAAGGTAATTAACCTCCGACACGTTCACTTAGTAGCCTCCGTCTACAATAATAGATTATAATACTAAATCAGTATGACTAATAATTTAGATGATACGAAGTTGGTAGTAGTACACTAGTAGTGGGTAATTAAGCAACTTCTTATAATATGTAGTATTGATAATTAAGTTTGGGGAAATAGGAATAATTTTATTAATGAACCAACTATGACAAAAAATTTAGAAGTGGAGTATTGAATAAATAAGTGGTCCACAATAAACTTTGCCATTCTTAGCCTGCAAATCCCACGCACCAAAACCCCAAAACAATTCAAAGTTTTCTTCTTTGACAGAAAAGAAAACAACCAATTTTCAATAAGAAAACACTTCCAACTCGTTCATTTTGAGATGCTCAACGAGGACCAAGAAGATTAAAGAAATTATTATGTAGAACAAGAAATAAAGAAAAGGTTCAGTCAGAATTTCAGATTTTCCAAGCTCAATCCAATATAAGAGAATCACAGTAAGAAAACTCATGGCTTACCGACGAAAGATCGGTTGGGGATGACGACTTGGGAAAAATTGAAAGTATGGGTATTGTATTAGCATTCTGGATAGATGTATATATATATTAGAAAGCTTAGGTTGGATTTTCTCGAATATTCAGAAGATAAGACTCAATTCAAATTGAGTTTGTTGCAAATTCCCGTTGAAAAGATAAGCTTCAAATTTATTATTTAATTAGTTTTCAAATCTGTTTCTGAAGTTATCAAAATCATTATTTTTTTGTTTTTTTATTATTAAATCCGAAAATAGAAAATAATTAATATATATTTGAGAAAAAATAAATTATAAAATTAAAAGTTTATACTAACAAAAGCGTTGACTAAATATACTTAATAATTTGGGTATTACATCTACTCCCCCTAAAACGAAAGTTCGTCCTCGAACTTTAAAGTTAGTTCTCAAAAGGGCTCACACGATGACAGAGGCTAATTTAGTATTACATTCTACCCCCCTTTAAGATTTTCTACCTCGAAACTTAGCATACTTGCTCAAAAATTTCCGGATAACGCTTTTTCTTGTCATGTTCAACTTCCCAAGTAGCTTCTTTAGAATTCTTATTACACCATAGTACTTTAACTAACTTTACCGCCTTATTTCGAGTACTTCTTGTTTTTGTATTGAGAATTTTAACAGGGCGTTCTTCGCATTATCTCGGGTTGGATAACATGAGTAGGGTCATATACATACTTTCGGAGTTGGGAAACATGAAAAACATTATGAACATTGGCTAACTCCATGGGTAGGGCTAGTTTATATGCCACCTCTCCAACTCTCTTCAATACCTCATACGACCCAATGTATCTAGGATTCAACCTCCCTTTTCTAGCATGACTCCCTTGGTAGGTGAAACCTTAAGTAAAGCCTTTTCCCCGACTTCAAATTCCACTATTCTCCTATTTTGGTCTGCATATGACTTTTGTCGATCTTGAGATGCCTTCATATTTGCCTGGATAAGCCTAACTTGCTTCGTTGTTTCTTCAATCATTTCTTGCACCAAAGTCAAAGACTCACTGATATCACTGCAACACAAGGGACTCCTACATTTTCTCCCATATAATGCTTCATAAGGTGCCATTCCTATGCTCGCATGATGACTATTATTGTATGAAAATTCGATCATAGGTAATATTTCATCCCAAGATCCACCAAAGTCCATCACACAAGCTCTCAACATGTCCTCCAAGGTTTGAATTGTTATCTCTGTCTGTCCATCTGTAGTAGGGTGAAACGTTGTGCTAAACTTCAGGATAGTGCCAAATGCTTGCTGAAACATTTCCCAGAACTTTAATAAAAATCTTGGATCTCTGTCTGAAATAATATCTTTAGAAACTCCATGTAGCCTCACAATTCCCTTCACATAGGCATCTGCCAACTGATTCACATTCTAAGTATCCTTTATTGCTATGAATCTTGTTGTCTTCGTTAGACGATCAACTATGACCCAAATATCATTCTTTGCTGCTCTTGTAAGTGGTAATCCCATCACAAAATCCATAGAGATAGACTCCCACTTCCATCCTGGCATATCTAACGATTGCAGCTTCCCTCTAGGTCTCATATGTTGTATCTTCACTTTCTGACATGTAAGGCACTTTGCCACAAACTCAACTACTTCATGCTCCATGTTCGGCCACCAAAAATGTTGCTTAATATCCTTATAGAGTACAGGGTGTTGTGAGCTTCTTCCAAAATCTTCTTTTTGAGATCTTCATCTTTAGGAATACACCATCTCCCTTTGTATTTCACTGCTCTGCTATTATCTACATCAAACTTAGTTGTTGCTCCTTCTTCTTTCATCTTTCTCACCTTGGTCAACCACTCATCTATTATTTTCTTCTCACGAATCTCATCATATATGGTAGGTTTGACTGACATTGCATTCAACTGAGCGTTCACCTGGCCATACTTCACAACCTCTAA